TTTCCCTCATGGGGACACATGGGTGTACCCTCTGGCTGCTCATTTTCCCATTGAGTGAGAGGGCTAAGGACAACAATTTCTTCATCATTGCAGAACATATGATCTTTAAGACAGAAAAAGCCAAACTACATGCTTTTTAAAATTCTGTGCAAAGAAAAGAAAAACAAAAGGAAAAAAAATTAAACCTTAAAAGCACATCCAAAGGGGACAATCCTATTTCAAATCATCTTTACCAACCTGAATGCAATGTATTTGCTGCAGGGTCACAGTACGCAGGTCAAAATGACACAGCCGGACAGCACCGGCGAGAACAGACTCCACATCCAGATGCCGACTGTCTGCTCTCACTGCAAAAAAATTAATTAAATAAATACATTTTTTAAAAACCCGGCTAAACTCAATCATGGCATTTGCACACATTATGTAATCTATCTGCAGTGACTACACCATTTGTTGTCATGAATTCTATGACAGTATCGCCAAAAAAGCACATAAAGCAAAGGGAGAAGCACTTCTAACAAGAATTCTTCCGTGATAAAATTCTTTTAAGCGAGACTCCAAGATCCAAATCCCCAGCTATCACCTTAGTCAATTCAGAACTTTAACCGTAGCTCTTTGTTTCTTTCAAACCATTTTTCAATTTTTTTTACCAACTTAGACGTCTTAAAGTGCCACTGCTCACACTGTAATATACTGGCCATTGGCTACTAGTAACAAACCACTGTTTGGACTGGTTCTGAGGGAAATGTGCCTGACGAAGCATGTGAGGAGTTGACACCAGGAACAGAAAAACCACTTCACAGAGATGAGCCTTTGGTCCCAGTCACGGACACATATGAAATAAGCTTCCCGAGAAGAAATATAAACAGCAACTTATTTTTCAATAAACCTTGTTCTGTCATCGAGGACACCCAACTAGACTCAGAAATGTTTTTTTAGTTTTAGTAGAGGTTTTTGTTTGTTTTGTTTTTGTAAGTGTTTTACGGCGCTCGCAACTGCATTAGGTCATATGAGCGCGCGGGACACACTAAACTTTTTCAGTTGGTAGGAAATTTTGAATTTTGCCCGGGTGGCGGCCGAAGCCTACTCTTATCGATTTTAGACCACCAAGGGATCTTTAACGTGCACAACTTGCACACGGGACTTAGTAGAGGTTTTACGGCGCTCGCAACTGCATAAGGTCAGATGAGCGCCAGAAGATTAGAGCTGTTATAAGAGAGTAACAAACATAAAAAAGAAGAAGGGGAGATAAGGACGATAGATGTTTGACAGGAAAGAAGAAGCAAACCACACCAGAGCACCCGCCAACCACCCACTCAGAGAAATGTACTTAATTTTTCACACAATCAGGAAGCACAACTCACCTGTAAGAGAATCTTTGGTCAAGGGCACCAAACTCTCCATAGACACACCATACACAGTTTTCATTTGTTTCCAACTTTTCAATCTGCAAAACAGAGAGATAAAAAGAAAACTTTACCACATAAGAAAATCTACCAAATCTGCTAATCAGTCAGTTTAAAAAAAACCCTCTACCTTTCAATGAAAAACAGGAAAAGATAAGAGGTATTTTAAACAGTATAGAAATGTGTCAAAAGTTCAAAAAAGCATTCATTTGGTACCTTCAGCCACTTAATGGCACTTCTTAGTTTCAGTTTTACTAGAGTTTTTATGGCGCTCACAACTGCATAAGGTCATATGAGCGCCAAGGGGTGGATGTCAACAGAGAAGTCTTTACAGGGAATCAGGATTACTCTGCACACCTCAATAACTTCAACAGCACAGTCTGCTTCGACTATCAAGGCACCCCGGAAATTGCGGGTCACAAGAGTGTGACAAACATACCAAAGGAGTAGAGAAAATAAAGATAGTAAGGATTAGGGGAAAAAAAGCAGCAGTTCCTTGTTGCAGTTCAGGCACAGTTATGAGCACGACATTGATGAATCAGACCATTTACTATTCTACTGTGCATAAGAGCATGTTAATGTCCCCCCTTTGGGAATGGTCTAAAGACACTTGAGTCAGTTGCACCGCCCCATGGGGTATGGCACTTCTTAACGCTTAGTGATGTCCCCCACATGTTAAATTTCCATAATTATACTTTAGTCTGACACTCTTTTGATAAAACAGGGTTTCCTTATCATGATAAAAACTTGCATGAGCTTGTTGAATTTTTTTACGACCAGGCTGGTCAAGATTCCTAAAGCAAGAATTATGATTTCTTTATATATATATTTTATCCCTTTCACCAATATAAACAAAGGTAAGATACCTTTCATGGAATTCTTCATCTGTAACAGGGGCTAAGAACAGAGACGCTGAACATGGAAACAACTCTCCATCCTGAAAACAAAAAGAGCACATAAAAATTTGGTCCTGCTAAACAATCAGTGTTATCATTTCCAAAACCTTTTCCCGTTCAAGCACTAAAAAAATTTATGCGCTTACATTCAATCTGTCTCTAGTTTCTCCCACCGCATTGCCTACCGCATTGCCTCAATGGCAGGTTTAGCAATGATCAAAACAGATCACTGACATTAGACTTGTTGACTGTCTACAGCCCATAAATCAGAACATCTGGTCTAAAAAGCAATGCTACAAAATAAAGAAGGATCAAAGTTCCACCAGCATATCAGAGTGACAGGCTCAAAGGGTTAATAAACACACTTTAAAAATTATACTTCTCTTTTCAAACAAAAATTAATTATTCCTATAGAACAGCTATTCATTAGAAAAACAATTTTTTAAAAATTTAACTCATAAATATATGAGCAAACATCAAAACTAAAGTAAATAAAATATATTCGAAATAACACAAAGATATATCACCTAACAAATTCCCATCCCATATTAGGCCTAAAGGATTTTATATATACATTTTTTATTTCTTATTGTGTGACATAATGTACTAAAATAATGGCAAAAGCCAAAAACTTACCTGCTTGAGAAACTTGTCTCTACCTTTTATCACAGAGGGCAACATTGAATCATACAACAGATTAGGACCCTGAAATAAGATGCAGGAGAAAACATTAAAAAATTAAATATTTAATAAAATACAAAACATCCAAATTATTTCAATGTAGTTTTGAGACTTTAACAGTTTTTTGTTTTAGTAAACATTTTACGGCACTTGCAACACAATTAGGTCATATAAGTGTCGAAGATTAGGTGTTAAAGGAAAGTAATAAAAAACAAAAATTAAAAATAAAATAAAACAAAAAAAATCAACAATAAAAAAAGGACGATAGATGTTTGATAGGAATAAAGGAGCAAACCACATCAAATCACCTACCAACCACCCATTTTTACCCTTTTTTTAAAAGGCTATAACAAATTGACATTGTAAAGCTTCCTAATTTCGGCAAAATTATTTTAATTAATCTGGTGCATTGGGTCTGCATAAGAATGCCACATAGATAGTGGAGAAAACAAACCAAAAATAAGCTCAACTTACCATCCATCCACTGACAATTGCATCGACTTTAGCAGGAAGCTCCACTTCCTGAAAAAAAAAAAAATCACACCATATCAAGAATACCATACTCGTTCAATATTAATTAAATTTGAGTTAATATGCATGTAAAAATTAAACTGCTTTCCATTTCAATAGTTTTTTTTCTTATACTACGAAAAAAAAAACACTTTAAAACAAAACCAGTGATGGATTACTTTTGAAAATCCGCCTACGATTATGGAAAGTGTGCTTATATTTTTATTTTGGGTATTGGACATCGGACTATTGACATCACAAATTTTATTCAATTAAACGCTAGATAAAATGTTATTTTCCATGTATTTGATTTTTATTGTTTATTATTTATAGATTTCACATTTTTCTAAAAACCCTAACAAAATGGTCCTCTAATAGTTATGATACAGCTATTTAAGGATTTTATGACGTTATGGAGCAACATTTTGAAGTTAGGTGGCACAACAACAAAAAACAGGACAAAAATTTGGTCAAATCAGGGCAAGAATTGGTTCACAGTAACGGCCACTGCTCCTGAACTAACAAGATATTACAAAAATGTTTAATGCTCTGTGATCAAGAAGCAAAGCTCTTTCCTTTATCCCTAAGCCCTAAGCTCAAGGCCCTTGAAAAAGTGAAAATTTTGCTGAAGTGCTTAAAAGAGGGGGCAGACTTATCTCTAAAAACAAAAGCTTAACCATTTATTACAGTTCGGTTTTCACAATACTACTGATGCGTTGAGGTTACCGGGCCGACACAAGAGACTATAAATGAAAGTTAACATCATAAGAGAAAATCTGCCAATCGCCCACTCAAGCTTTATGATGATAATGGTGATAATAATAATAGTTCATCCATAATGAACAAATGTGTCACAACGTGGTGGAATCAGACGCTCGTCAATTTTTGGGCATGTAGAGTTATTGGTATCACCTGATAGCTTATTCACTGGCCTTGCTTCTTAATGAAAAAAATACCCATCTATCGGGACTACAAGTAGAGATATTTGCGATTGAAGGTGGGGTCACCTGGTTTCAGTGGAAAAATTAGAAAGGAAAATGACCGCCAAAGTTTGGTAACTTCAATAGCTTGAGTCCTTGAAAACTATCAAAGCACAAATTGTGTGCCTTTGACAAATGTTTATCGGTAAAATTTACACGCAAATTGGTTTTTATATTGACATAAAAGGTGTTGATCGAAAAAACAAAAAATCCATAAAAATTGCCAGACTGGCAGAAAAATGCCAGTTTCTTCTTCAATTTCCTTATTTTGACGAGCGCCTGATTTCATCACACTGCCTCACAAATGATGATCTTTAACATTCAAAAAAGAATAGAAGTTTTTGACCTTGCTTGCTACCACAGGTAGCTAGCTTGGTACAGGCAGAAAAGTAAAGGAAATAACAGAACAGAATAACTGCATGGACTGGCCTAGGTATAGCAGAATGTGCAATGCAAGCTCGCGACCCTGAAGGCTGGAGAGTTATTATACGTCAACCCGTGAGTCAGAAATGAGACCTCCAGGTTTTCCAGGTATTATTCAAAGAGCTATTATTGGAAAGTTGTAACTATGACCGTCTGATTTTAAATAGGGATTCAACTTCAAAAGAGTTTGTTTGTTTGTTTGAGCAGGTGTTTTATGGCAATATCGACTCAGTTTTGGTCATCTCCATAAGAGTGAATAAGACAAAAGGAACTACCGTTTCATACATACCTCAATTTTCTTTTGTATCACATTGATCACAGAGCCAGCTGCATTTTCCTTGACAATTTTCTCAGCATACAAAGCAAGACTGCTGGCTTCCACAGCATAAACTGAGGAAGAAAAAATGACATATTGTAGCCTGCACATGATATCCCAATGTATGCCACGCTCATTTGCTATAGTTGCAGTTTCAGTTTAGTTAAAGAGTTTTACGACACTAGTAACACAAATAGGGCATATAAGTGCTGAAGATTAGTGGTGTTACAAGAAAGTAATTATTGATATACATAACAAAATGACTGCTCGACAAAATATTTCAAACTTTCATAATTCATAAAACCATAAATGTCTGAAATGATGTAACTATATCACTATTACATGTTTGTTACTTGTTTTGAAGTCATTTGGAATGTTATGGGGTTAGCTAGAACAGTTTTCTTTCACATTTTCATACTATCTACATTGGAATACATTTACAATTTCTGAATAATAATAATAATAATAGACAGCATTTGTAAAGCGCTAATCCCCGCTCAACAGCAAGCTCTTTGCACTTCAAAATCTATACTTTTACCCAAGCTGACCTGACAGAGCATTCTGAAACAACCTCAACTTCTTGGGAAGCATACAGTGCAAGTGGCCATTTATAGGCGCTATAATATACTGATAAGATCTTGTTTTGTCAAAATGAATGTATTTTGTGTATTTAGACATGTTCATTAAGCTTATGATAGGTAACATTATGTCCATGAAGTTTTTTGTTTTTGTGTGCTGAGTTTCAAAACTCATGAAAACTCCTGCACTTTCTGGAGAATTCTTTGAAAAAAAAATTCGCTTCTTACAATTTGGTAAGAACTTTTTTAATTTTAAAAAGCATAAACATTCATTTTTTGCCAAAAGCAATCTGTAAACCAGTTAGAAAACATGAGGCAGTGCCATAGCGGAAAACACGATATTTCTGAGCAGCGTATTACCAGTAACATTATCCTAAGCGAGACACTGAGATAAACATTATCCAAAGTGACACAGATGCAAACAGTACCCTAAATGACACATGCACACTGACATAACATTATCCAAAGTGACACACACACACTGACATTCAATCAGGCTACCTTTGCTTGCACCAGCCTGCATCGCGAAATGGCTAAGAACTCCAGTTCCTGCTCCAACATCTAAGACAGTTGAACCCTGTAATCGAGATCTGTTTTCCTGCAAGGCTCTCCTGCCAAAAGGGAAAGAGGTATTAAATAAAAACTAACCCAAAATCATTCCAAGCCTTAAAAACAAAAAAAGATCAAAAGAAAAGAAATTGAAAGTAAGAAAGTAGTACCGCATGTTGAATGAATCTATTATTCAAATCAAGACTGAAGCTCACAATATAAAAGCAAAAAGTGAGCAATCAGCAAATACTTCCATACAACCTGATCTTACAACTTAATTTTGCTTTGACAACAGAATAAATGAAAACAATACAATTCCAAAAGATTTTAACTACTGTATGAGCTAGAACCAAAAATACTTGACAAACAATACAATAACGATTTTCAAAGAGGAAACAATGGAATGACAGATCATATATGAAATGAATGGAAAGAACACATTTAGTTTAATGAAACGTTAAAAAAATATAAAGTTCAATGCCTTTCCAATATAAATACAATGTGTGCCCGTTTACTAAAAGTAATATTCCTAACATAAGACCCCAGTCTGATTCAGTATCTAAACTTTTTCAAGGATTAACAATGATAATGTATCAAATATCACCACAGCAGCTGCTTGTGTGACCCCAGAAAAGGAACAAACCCTTGCATTCCATACCTACAAATAATGTTATACAAAAGCAAAGGCAAAAAATGCCATTTAATGAAAGAAACAAATATGCATGGGAAAGTTTAAACTTACCTGTATGCCAGGGTAGAAACTTTGTCATTTAGCATCTTTTCAAGTCTCTGAATGTCAGCATAGCATCTGAAATAATTATAAACTTAATCATTCAACATAAATCAAGTCTTTGAATGTCAGCATAGCCATAGCATCTGAAACAAATATTTCAAACGCCATCTTTTACACACATAAATCTTATTCCTGATCGATAGCTTGCAAATAGTGACGAGAGGGAAGTTAAGAGATTCAAAGACTGAGTCTGCCGAGTCCAAGGGAAAACAAAAAAAGCAGTATTATAAGATTTAAAGTGCCTCGAATGTAAATCAATGCTATAAAAAATATGAAACAAAAAAAATTTAAAAAACAAAATGAAAAGACTGCTTGACGGTCAAGGGCCTCCAATTACTTAAAATAACAGGTGTCCTTTCTAACCCAGAGCTTAAATTGTTTATGACAATGGTATGGAAGAGGTCTATCACAAGGACAAATTCTATTCCCAAATCAGACTTTTTTTTTCAGGCCCATTTTAAAAAAATCACATAAACAAAAGACAAAAACACATCTCCCCTTTGAACTCAAAGAAAAAAGAAAAAACCCATCTGTTTCAGAACAACTGATCGCTATTAGTAACTGTTCATTTATGCAAGGGTTTTCAAAGTTCAAAAAGAGAGACGCAGACAAGAGAAAGGAACCTGTTGTTACAATACACAAGTAAGGCAAACTTAACACTTACATTCTGTCTCGAGCACAAAATCGGAACTGCGAATCAGCAAATCCGTCTTTGCTGGAAGAAGCCACCACCAGCGGAGCGGCCATCTGTGGGCTGTGGAGAGCTGCCGGAGACAGTCCCTGCAGCATGTGTTGGTGGGGGATGAGATGTTTGAGCGGCTGAAACTGCTGGTGATGTGTCTGGAAGTGCTCCTGCTGATGTGATGGCTGTTGTTGCTGCTGCTGATGAGGATGAGCCAAGCGCTGCTGCTGCTGCGGCTGAGCACCTGACAACTGCGCCAGGTCAGGAGTATTCTGCTGGTGCATTTGCTGAAAGGGCTGATGGTGGGTGGGGAGGTGCTGGTTGTCAAAAGCATGAGTGTCTGGTTCAACTCCTAGAAGGTCGAAGTGGCCGTCAAATGGTGGTTGAAAGAAGACGGGAACTGTGGGGTCTTCAGGATTAGGATTATTAGGAATGTGAGAGGGCAGGGTATTGTCTGGTGCTGCTATCCTCGACTTGGAGGACAGCTCCGAGTGGTGTTTACGCTCCTTCTTCTCTCTTCTGCCCGCTAAACTGTGCCTAGTGGCTCGATCAGGAAAAGCCTTCCTCCTTTCCCGGTACATTGCCAGCTGAAGGAACTTGGTATCTTTTGACGACATACCTGCGCTGCCCAGCCGCCTCATCTCTTCTGTGATTATGTCCTGCAGGCGCTTGCCAATCTCCGTCACGGCCTTGCGTTTACAGGCAGCCCGCAGCAGCTGTCTCTCCAGTTTGTCGGCATCTGCCTCGTGCGTGTGCGGCTTCTCGTTGTCCTGGACGATGGTCTCCACTGTCGCATCCGTTTTGACCTGCGCTGTACACATGCGTGTGGAGCAGCGCCATGAGATGCGGTCCTTGCCCATGTGGTCTAGCCGGTACATGAAGCCATTGCGCACCAGGCTCTGCTTGCCCTTGTTGGATTGAACCATGCGGAACTCCAACCCATTGCTCTGCCCACGAATCAGACATGACTCTGGGAAAGAAAGTTTGAGAAAAGTAAAGATAAGCACATCAACACAAAATTGGTCATATAGTGCAGAGGAAAAAGCAAGACAGACAGTCAAAAACACAAGAGGAAAAGAAAAGAAGTAGGACCTACTGGTGACATCCTCCAGCCACCCACTGGGAAAGAAAAAAGGGAACTCAGTCTTGGACTTAGTGAGCAGTAATTTACTACACACCAGCATGATGATGTCCATATTTTGCCAAGCACTAGCGAGATGTTTGTATTTTCCAGATAGCCCACAACTACAAAAAGTAGCTTATAAGCTTGAATCTACAAAAACTCAAAAGATTCCGACATGTTACAAGAACAATATCACAAGCTTTACACAATCCAAGGTGCCACAGAAGGCACAAGAAAACCTGACAGACACAACATAAGCCTTGCCTGCTCAGTGCTGACACCCTCTCCCAATCATCCTGAGAACAAGGAGCATCATGCAAAGATAAACAATGATTTCCTCCCTCTCCTTTTGAAATGTGGGACAAATTCTAGTATATTAATGATTTCAAAAACGTCGGAATGGACAAATTATGAATACAGTTTTGTTCAGTTTCATTCAGAGATTCTGTGTGAACAGAATAAATCTCAAATAGAAATAGAACAGGGAAAACTATTACAATGACGACACAACAAACACGAGGTACATAATCTTTTCAAAAGACAATTACAGCCATACTGTCCTTAACATTTTCACAACACCCTTTCCTCTCCTCGTGGTATGTTTGTATGGTTTTTGTAAGTGTTTTACGGCACTTGAAACGCAATATGGTCATATAAGTGCCGAAGATTAGGTGCTACAAGAGAGTGACAAACACAAAAAAGAAGGATGGGAGATAAAGACGATAGATGTTTGATAGGAAAGAAGGAGCAAACCACACCAGAGCACCCGCCAACCACCCACTCTCTTCATGGGAAGAAGTGACGGACAAGTAAAATTTAAGTTTCACATTAATTTAACTAACTAAAATCTGCCCTAAAAATGTAATGGCAGTGTGCTGAAAAGAGGAGAAAAAAAAAAGCCTCATCGTTCCAGTACATTCCTTCCAACTCACAGAACGTTTCTCAGACAGTATTCCTTAATGAGTGTGATTGTATGAGTGTGTGTGAGATTGTGTGTGTGAGAGAGAGAGAGAGAGAGAGAGAGAGAGAGAGAGAGAGAGAGAGAGAGAGAGAGAGAGAGAGAGAGAGAGAGAGAGAGAGAGAGAGAGGGGGGGGGGGAGAGGAAGAGGGAGAGGGAGAGAGAGAGAGAGGAAGAGGAAGAGACAGTAGTAGTAGTACAGGGTTTTACGGCGCTTGCAACTACATAAGGTCACATGAGCGCGTGAAACACAAGTTGGTAGCATTCGCAACAGTTCACTGCACGGTTTCTCAACAATTAGACTTTAAAATGCTAAAATACTCAAATTCAGTGTAAATATATTTGCGATTTAAAACAACTCTTATAAATAACAATAAAATTTTTTAAAAATATGTCTCTTCTGGAGAGGTCTGAAGGATTTCCCTGTTCTAGTTTGGGTTTTATAACATATAGTTTATTGTTTTTCTGTTTTTCCCAGTGGCTCTCCAGAGAAAGAGAGGGAGGGGGGGGGGCAGAGAGAGAGAGAGAGAGAGAGAGAGAGAGAGAGAGAGAGAGAGAGAGAGAGAGAGAGAGAGAGAGAGAGAGAGAGAGGAAGAGGGGGAAAACGACAGACAGACAGACAGAGAGAGAGAGAGAGAGAGAGAGAGAGAGAGAGAGAGAGAGAGAGAGAGAGAGAGAGAGAGAGAGAGAGAGAGAGAGAGAGAGAGAGAGAAAGACAAAGACAAAGAGAGAGAGAAAGAGAAAGAGAAAGAAAGAGAAACTGGGAAGGATGAAATGTTGACGTACCACTGATAAAGTCACTACTGGCACTGGTCCCAGTCCCACCATCCTCGTTCTTACACACCGACAGCTCCATAAACAGGCCGCATACAGTCTCCCGCTAGTCCATCCACAACCAACCCTCTTTGTTGAAAATATGATCATGGGTGGACGCTGAATGGTACTAGTGGCTGACTACTGAACACGATCTGCATCACATCTGAAAGCAATTCCAGAGACTGTATTTTAGCATTATATATATTATTCCATGTTATAGAGTTAACAAGTTTGTGATTTAATAAATAAAGCACTGATGAAAGTGTAAACTCAAACAGACACTCAATATTAATAAGTCATGACAAAACTAAACTAATTACGTAAAGTGTAAAATAAAACAGTTCATCTTGAGACTTGAGATACAATTATTATATATTCTATATCATAAGATGGTTCACAAAACATCATATATCTTTAAAAAGCAAAAATTCCTTAACAACTAAAGGAAAAAAAAGGACTGACAAAAAATAAATCTATGTACCATACAGGAGGATACACTTATGTACAGATAACCACCACTCATCTATATGCAATGAGCGCATGTGTGTGTGTGTGTGCAAGTGTATACTTCTCTGAGAACGTGAGACAGAGTTTTTGCTTTACTATGACATCTACACAATTTATTCACCAGAGAGATTGTGGGAGAGGGATGCTCTTATACACACAAAAAAAGTTTTGCATTATTTCATATCAATTCATGATTAAAATATAGCAAAAAAGGAGAGACAGAAGAGAAAGAAGGGGGGGGGGGATGATAAATAGGACAGACAGAGGGAGGAGACACAGATGGATGGTAAAACATTTCTAAGTAAAAGGAATTTTACGTTTTCTTCTGACAAAAAGAGGTCAAAGACCAGCAAGAGGCAATGGGATGAAGTGACCCCAAGTGAGTATCAACTATTTTTTCATTTAGATTTTTCCACTTGAAACTAACAGATAACACTGACAGGAAACCACAGAGGATGCGCTGGCAGAACACAATCTCAAAGCGCCATATGCTGAACGGACCTCCTACATACACTAACTCACAGCCTCTATATATATCCACCACACAGACAGGTGCTCTCCCTTACGGTGTTTACCTGGTGTATAGAACGCTGGAATGTCAGCAAAATAAATTAAAAAGTAGGTACCTATACAATGAAATTTACATGGGTACAATTATATTTCTAAAGCTTGCATTGCTACCAAAAATATTCCCGTTGTGACAAAAAAGACAGAAAGAAATTCATATTTTAGTAATTCAGAGTCACTATTTCAAGGGAAGCAGCTACACTGAAAGTTACCAGCAGTTACCTGCCTGCACGCGGCGTGAGTAAATGTGAAAGGGGAGATCACATCTCCTTCCAGGAACCCAGCACAGGTAAATTATAACAAGGGAAGCAACCCTATCATTTGCAATAACCCAGGTGTAGTCTCCCTTTATACAAATGATCTTACAGTCCACAGAAAGACCTCATTGTAAATAATGAACTTTCCAATAACTCCAAAGTGACTTTTGATGCTAATTCAGAAAAGAAAACAAAACGGAAATTTGTCCTGGACATAAAACAAAAATTTTTAAGGAAGCTTTGGTTAAATGTTTAACAATTGCCCTCTTTTAGCATATTTTGAAAATGCTTACATTTAGGATGATTACTGCAGTTGCTGAATTAAACAGTTACGAAAAATTAGAGCTGGCAAACAATACATCAATAAATTTGTTTCAGTTTTAGTAGTATTTCTACAGCACTTGCACACAAATTGGTTATATAAGTGACAAAGAATAGAGGGGTTATTACTACAGAGCAACATACAATGAAAAGAAAAGATGGAAAAGAAGTCAATGTTTGATGGAAAGAAGGAGCAAACCACACCAGAAAACCCACCAACCACCCATAAATAACTTATTGAGCTCATGTGAACCTTGCTTTGTCATCAAACTAAACAAATGACATTTGCCGATCAGCTCCTTGTCAATCAGCCCCTAGCTTTTATTGATACTGTGGGTGATGGTAGGTCACTACTCATTCCCAAAACTCTTTTTTCACCAGTTTCAAGGGAATTTCATAGACACATGCCAGATATTGCACTAGTTTATTTTGTTCATGTACTAGTGGGGTCAACAGGAAGCATTCAAGCAATTCCATCATAACAATGTTTTCTTTTCTAAGATATAATACTATCGAACTAGGTTCAACAGCCGCCTGTCAAAAAAAAAATCACCTCTGTACACACAAACACATCCCACTTTCCACACTATAACACTGTCCAAGATGTCCACCTACCTAAGACAACCACTTTTTTTTTCTCAACAATGGGTGGCCGTCTTGAACAATTCTACAGTATATTTAATGACAGGTCCTAATATTCCATTCGAAAATTGAAAAAGCACACAAACAAGTTTATATATAGCTATATATAGAAGAAAGGAAATGTTCCAGCGTTTCTGTTTTTAAAGGTCAAACAGTGGCCCTATGAGATGCAAGCACTGGTAGTGGTAGCATTAGTCGATAAGTTGGACGGATGCACGCTATTATCAGAGAGGCTAGGATAGCACTTGAGAGCCCCCCTCCCTCATCCTCTCTCCGCAAGTAAATTCCTGTATGACAAAATTTTGTTCTGGCTCCCTTGCGATTACATCTTAGGTTCGATAGTTTTTACTGCAGCTGCAGGCAGCAGATGGCCTGTCCTAGAACTAGAACTCCCTCTCCATGGCCTTGGCATAGCCTGCCAAAATCAAATTTTATTATAATGTCATGAAAATCTGGATCTTGATTTTGCTAAGATTTAACCATCATACATAATGTCCTGACCAGAGCAAAAGAGGACAAAAGTCAACAATATCAGTATGAGCATAGAATGCATTCATGATTTTAAAATCCAACTGAATTCTTCATGTTCAAGTTTGAGACGACAAAAGACAACCTTCCTCTAGATCCAGACAGCTTGTTCGTTTTCGTCTGACCACATAAAAAAAAATTCAGAGCTCATTTAGTGATTTACCTATGCCCATGAAACTTTGTGCATGGCACTTCTGCAGGCCAGCGACTAGACAAAAATCTTTTTTTTTAAATCTTGATCGAGTAACAAAAAAGTTTTTCTCTTTGGGCCCTATATCAAAAACCGCTCTTTCGATGCATACACTACACGTAACACTTACACAGATCACTAAAATAAATGACTTAGAGTAACCTTGCCTACAAATTGCTCATCTTGAAACAGCGACACCATCCTACCCCCATATTTCAATGTAAGATCGTAGACTTCATCCCACAGCTGTCTAGACATCTCCATGTGAGTCACGAAAATTACTCATCCCGGTATTCTTTTACTTTCCCTCCCATGGAACTTTATCTCACTCAGCCTAATTGCGTAGTAATTTTCGAGCTTTGGACCAATCGGATGTGTGTGTGTGTGTGTGTGTGTGTGTGTGTGTGTGTGTGTGTGTGTGTGTGTGTTTCAGAGGGATCCCCCTGAAGTAAGACAAAAATCTGGGGGGGTCCAGTTTTTATCTTATAATTTGATGTTTTACAGTTACTTTAGGTTTGAAATTTTCTTGAAAATAATAGATTTGCTACAGTTTTAGTGGCTATATGTGTGATCTGCAGTTAATAATACTGCAGTTTGACCCTCAAAGCAGTGCATCTGTGAGCGAGAGTGAAAGTAAAAATCTACCCTCACCCTTGAATCATGTTTCTTAGCTTAGGTGAGTGTTAAGGAAAAATATGTTTCAACTTTTAAAGTAAATGTTTTAGGTGTATGCAGTAGATCCCCTATTGTTTTTTTACCCACATTAGTTTAGTTACCCAACGCCCATTGAGGGATCGACAAACCCATTGCCAACCGATCATTGCCTGAAAACAAAAATGCGTTTTGAAGATGGGAGTCGGGCAATCGTTTTGTTCCACAATGGTTGCTCTGCACCCTCAATCTACCTAGCCCCACCTATCAAACCGAACCGATCATGCCAATATATGGGCACCTCCTAGACATAGTTATCTGTTTAAGTTAGGCTTACATCACCATCAAGGAAAACGTGTTGGAACCTTAGTTAAGCTTGCAGTCAGTGACCTTTTAGAACTATAAGCCTATCTATGGGTATGAATGGGCTTTTTTAGATTTGTCAGTGTTGGCAGTTCGTCATTGAACTTTTGGTACTACTTAAGAATGTGGGTCCCATTAAATGATAAAGCCTACGAAGTGTGGGTTTTGGCTCCACCAACAATTACTTCTGGTTCTAAACTATTACTATTTTATGTGCGTGTTGATATGGAGAGATAATTAAATTGAGATATCAAACCTGATTGCAAATAATCAAATTATGGTCAAATTCAGGGAGCCCCCCCTCACCATGTTTTCGTTAGGTCAGGGGCTGCTCATTTCATTTTGCAAGCTATTGAAAAATAACAGCGCATCTCTCGCTCTCGTTGAGATAAGCCATACGATTATTCAAGTTAGTATCGACATCCAGTTCTCTGTGTGTGGATGATGCCAAGCCTAAACAGACGGAACCCACATTCTAGTAGATCTAGATCTCTAGTAGTTCCGTTCGTAAAAGTCCACCACCCATTTGTTTACATCCAGAGAAGAAATCCGGAAGTCTTGATGACCAAATAGGCAACACAAAGAACAGGAAAGAAATCTAACAGCAAAACATCAAATTCTGGTAAATTTCAGGGGGGCAAGCCCCCTGAATTTTCCATAAAATTACTACTCTTGACTCTTGAGGCCCAAACCGGCGAATAATAATTGGGGAAGGGAACTGCCAAAAAAGGATAATTCTTTGCTTGAATTTTGATTTTCTCCTCAACGATTACCTGGCAATTCAGGGTTTCTGGCGTTCAGCTGTGGACTTAAACGAACGAAACTACAAAATCGCCCAGCTTTGGACTTAAACGAACGAAACTGCAAAATCACCGCCTACCCAACTTTTACACCTGTGTACAATATATATATGCAAAAATCTGGAGAGATTGAACAGAACAATCTCGTTTTATAAATTATGCTGTCAGACGAAAGTGAACAAAAGAAGCTCTAGGCAGGCAGTCTGTCTCAGTCGCCTGTGGACTGCGAGATTCTGGGCCTAGCAAAATAGGCAAGGCAAAGGTCCTAAATTAGATCTAGATCTAGATCTAGGCTACTAATCTAGATTTCTAGATCTAAATCTAGATCTAGATTCTCACGATCTAGATCTGGACTCAACAATGATGCTGAGTCTGAGTAGGCAGCATTACACAAGGGTAGAACCATATTAACGCCCGACACCGACAATCAGACCAGACCCGCCGTTTTCCGTCGGGTTCGGCCGACCATATAAACACCGGAGTTTGGCTGTCAGACACCGCCCTGTTGTAAATATGGCGTGAGGTAGAAGAAGAAAATTGTTGTTGTTGTCGCTTTTGAGACGCAGACAAAAAAGGAAAACCAAGAGAAGAAGAGTTTCAGTTCATCCTATCCAAAGAAAGTGTGATACTGATACACTAGATGTGAATTTCATCATTTGTTTCCGCAGTTGTTGGAAGATAGTGAAAAATTCCAACAATATTATCGCATGAAACATAGCAGTTTTGATGAACTGCGAGAGATATGCAGAGCTGACCAAGTACTGCTAGAATTCTGTGTAGTGTTAGCAAGGCGGGAAAGGGGACACAACTATGCAGAGATAAATCATTAAAATTTCCTCCCATCTCGCCCGACGGACCGTCTTCGCATGTCTGACCGGGGACGACACAGAACGTCGGGCGTCAGTATGGTAGCCGAAACCGTTTTTTGTTACCTTCCATTACTAAAGACCCGGTGCGCTTTCTTTTGAGCCCGAAGATGGTCTGGTCTGACCGTCCGGGTCCGGCGTTTTAATATGGTTGCGGCCTTTTATACTTATCTTATACGGCACGGGGTTCCCACTACACACTACACGGCTAGATCTAGATCGGGCCGATTGCCCGACTCGATCGCCTGAAACTGAAAACAAACACGTTTGTTTTTGAGGCGATCGAGTTGGGCCATCAGGACAATCGGCCGATTCCATCCGTAGTGGGCACCTCGTATTAGATCTAGCCTTTGGTCGGAGTAAGCCTACACTCTAGGCCTAGACTCTAGGATTTTACTCATATCGTAGACGACGTGTTGGTAGACTACTTGACTACTAGATCTAGACTTAGGCTGAGGCTGAGGCGTCTTTTAGGGGCAGGGAGACAGATCAAAATGACTTACTCGTTCATAAGGGGGAGTTAGGGATGAGCTCTGTCGAAAGAAGGCCCGAACACCAGGCCTTCAAACAGCGATGACACACAACGGTAACAACAGACAGGGCGAAGAAGACATGAAACTTGAAAACAAACTGCAACTGCAGTTCGATAGTTGCCAGGTACAGGATTACGCGCCACATTTGAAAGTCTCTTGAAAATAGTATACACGTTTCCTCATTTTTAGTTAAGAAAACGTCTTATGCATTATGATATGAGCTAGAGTTTTGAAATTGCAATAATTCAACCCGAAATTGTTTAAAAATTACGTAATAATCAGTATCTGAACATTTCTCAACCAGTAGGCCTAGATCTACATCTCAGAAAGTTACAGTTCAAAAGACCAAAAGCCATATCAATCAACACGACCATTCAATGCTCTCATGAATGAATTGTCTATAGCTATGTGTGCGTACATGGATTTAACGCTCCTATCAACACTTTCGGGTTATTAAACAGACGGAACCTCCGAAATTAACGTCCATCTCCAATAGAACAAAGACAACTGGGTTGAAAACCTTGAAAACTCCAAAAAACGAACCGAGTTCAAGAACACCATGTCAAAGATTCGAACCAGGGCCATCCTGGCTGTAGTTCAGCAAGATATTGATTGAACTATTGCTTTGTTCATTTTCGTCTTACCGCAGTGAGAACTAAAACAAGATAAAATCAAAGAACTCTGTTCAGTCTTCTCAGATCTTTGCACACAGGTCTAAAAGTTGGATGACCAACAGAATCAAAAAGCCTGACAAGTTTACAGCATTCTCCTAAAACATTTTTTTTTTAAATTGACAAATGTTCATCTAGAAATCTACATTACATTTTAATGCACGTATAAACGTGTGTACATGATGGAGTCGCTTTCAACTCACCTTCCCCTCACCAGCACCAAAAAATTAAACAGTCTCCTGTTTGCCGACGCTGACATTTAATTCGCTATAACAACTTGTGTACAAGACAAAGTGCATGCCGCTCACTCTCCTCGCACCATCACCAACCGCGCATCAAAAATAGTTGGGGCTTGCAAATTTTAGTGCCACACTAAAATCCCACTAAAAGCGACCCCACTCTGTTCTTTCCTTTCACCTCCTTTGATGTGCACAAAAATGGTCGAGACGTTGGTGAGGGCATGGTGCGGTGAGAGCGACTATCCGTCTGTGTCCGTACGTTCAGAAACACGGTCCAAGGCACGGGTGAGTACTTTTCGAGACTCACGTGGAAACGCCCAGACAAATGTGGGAGGAAAGCAATAACAAGCTTACACTGAAATGTGGGGGCATGGTGGTGTCGTTGTCTCAAAATGATCAATTTGTAGGCTAGATTACTGTAAATCGTTTGTTTTAGTGGATCCTGGGCATGCATCCAAAGAGTGGATTTTAATATAGGGCCCGAATAGAGAAACTTTTTTTATTACTGGATCTTAGGCAGAATTACCGACTTTTAATTTTCACGTTTTAATACATGTACTGGTTTTACAGCACTTGCGTACAACAAGGTCATATCAGTGCTGAAGATTAAAGGTGTTACTGGTAGTAACAAACAAAGTTATAAAGGAAGGGGGGGAATAAGGGCGAGAGATATTAATTTGATTTGAAAGAAAGTAGCAAACCACACCAAAGTACCTGTCAACCTCAACCACCCACAGCGTTGGCCTTTGATCAGCTCACGAAGAAAATCGTCGAGCTCTGTCCAATTTCATTTGGCTTGATTTGCACTAGAACTGGAAATTCAAAGCATGTGGTCTACCACGTTCCAATGAAGGGCGTGAAATTCTATTAACAACTGTTGGTTTTAATTGCTGAGATGTTGACGTTATCTGTCAACACGCCGGCTGTTGCACGGAGTTTTTTTTGGTTGTTGTTGTTGTTGTTGTTTGTTTTTTTTAATTTACTTTTTTTCTGTTGCTGAATATTGTAAGGATCCCCCGCCCCCTATTCTCAGTTGGGTTATACCAATAAAACTGACTGGTAGTTTTTACATTGCTGAAGAATTCTGTAATGCTGATAATAATATCATGCCAGCTAAGGAAATAGTAACATGTTGAGTTTGGGCAAAGATACTCCACTGGATTCTGTTCCAGTCGGTCTTGAACTTCCTTAAATTAGCACATGGTCACTCCACTTTCAGGTCCAAACTGTTTTGTGGTCCATTACTTCATAGATAGTAGGCGTCCGCACTCTGGTTTGGCTCTCTAGGCTGCCGTTTCTCGCAAAAGACGTGAATTTGATAACCTCTAGTGTTCTTACAATTATTGCAAGCAGACCATATACATGTATACCTCTCCTCTTGCTTGGATGCAATCTCTTCGGGTGTGTGTGGGGGTGGGTGGGGGGTGGGGGGTGGAGGAGATATAATTATTCGCGATTAACCTTTTCCAAACATAAAGGTACACCATATACCGAATACAAGTATCAATATGGTGCTTGTGTTTTTGGAAAAAGCCTAGTAAAAAGAGCGTGACTCTTGGAATTTAGCATAATGTGGAAACGATGCGTTGAGTCTTGTTTTTTGGAACGTGTTTTGCACAATCCTGAAAGCTTCGAAAAGATGTTCTCTGTCTGTGTGTAAACATGTGCGTTTCTGTGTGTGTTTGTGAGTGTGTGTGTACGTCGTGCGTGCGTGCGTGTGTGCGTGTGCGCGCGCGCGCGCGCGTGTGTGTGTGTGTGTGTTTGTGTGTGTGAGACAGAGAGCACATGTGCGTGTGTGCATACATGCCTTCGTGTGTGATTATGTTACTATCATTTTCTTTATACCTAACCTCAAGATCGTGGACTAGAGTCTCTCTTTATCTTGGACACGGCATCTGACGCAGCATGCGGTCCTGTAAATGCTATTTTCATATAAGAATAGTTGCAAGAACAGTTTACGCAATTTACTTTATTCTCAACAGCGGATAACAAGTGATCAAGAAGTCCCCTCCCCCCACCCCGTCCTAAAATTTAAGAGGCCATTACAGACTCATCCGTCAGTACGCTAACCTCGGCCATGGAAACTTTACCCCACGCTAGTACAAATTCTGTGATACACAATAATAATAACAATTTAATTTTTTTTAGTAATAATAATAATAATAATAATAATAATAATAATAATAATAATAATAATATTAATGAAAGCTTGTCCGCCAATTCTGACGATGACCAATACATCCACAGAAAAGACTATTTCTCCAACGAAATAAATCTGTTAGAAGAAATAAAGGTTAAGATGACTTGTGGCTTAAATTCTTCTGTGACTGATGAGACCAATTCTGGCAGAGAAAAGTTTGCCACATTTTGAACATTTTAGTATTTTAAAAGCTCCACTTCCATTGTGGATGTTCGCAGCTTGCGGACTTCTCTCTTGGTTTCAGCTTTAGTTGTGAAGCCTCACATTATGATTTGCTGTCCACTGTGACGGCTGCTCTCCGCCTGAGTCTGTGATACACCTCTAATACAATCAACGAGGGGCAGTTTCGGGGGTGGAGCACAGCCTGTCAAGTCCCAACACATAGAGAATGGTTCATTGTTCATTGTCCCAGGAAGCAACACCCCTGCACTCTGGACATGTCCATTAAAGCTCCGTTGCTCTCTCCAAAATGTCGCCGAAGATTTTCCACTGATTGTGCCAGTGCATATTTGGTTGAAAGTTCTTCTGTTCTTTCCTGCAAGGATGGCAGATTTTTCTGCTTCCTTTTTGTATTCCCAAAAGCATCATCCTCTCCACAGCAGTACTGGCTTCTGCCTCCCTATCTTCCTCTTCAATCAGTTGGCGAGAGAGACATTTCAGGATCTCGACCCTATCTGGTTGAACCGTGCTGTCAACTGAGGTGGCCTCACCAGCCAGTCTATCGGCTTTTTCATTTCCCCTAACACCTGCATGGCCAGGGCAGAAAATCCATGTGAGCAATCGTATAGGCGTTGCTTCGATAACTTGAATCCATTCTGTTCTCAGGAAACCTTTTTCGATTCTTCTGAGGGTACATGGAATCAGTAATAAGAACAGCATGGGTTGTGTGGGGGCGATCTTGGGTCATCCATTCAAGTGCTTTCGTGATGGCTTCATTTTCCATTCGAATACTTGATGTAGCCCTGCTGCAGGCTCCAGATGCACTGTGTATGATTTTATTGTTCACGAATGCAACAAATCCCCATCCACTTCGCTGGCTTTCTCTTTTCACTGACCCATCTGTATAAATTACAGGATCCCCTACTGCTTTTGAGTTTGTGTCAACAATCTCGTTGATATCGCTCTCGTTGATGGAAGTCGCAATTTCTTCTGTCTCTGATTTTGACCTTGATGAGGTCCCTGAACTCTCCTGCCACCTGTTCCCATTCTTCGCCTAGTGGCAGGCTCTCAGGTACACAGATTTTTCTCAGGGAATCCTCTGCTTCCGCCATCCCAGATTTTCCTCTTTTGATTCTGCCTCTCTTGTTGTCATGAAGTGATAGAGAAGAGAGATTTTCCTTGCTGCGACGACAGTGAAGAATGGTATGTTATATAATAAAAGTTGGTATTCAAGTCGACAGCAGTGCTGTGATCATGGTTTGAATCTCCAAAGGAGGTATTCTCGAACTTAGAGGGACTGATAAATTTTCAATGTTTCATACTTACTTCGAACGGTCCTATCAAGGAATATTAGACTGGGGTAGCTTTAGTTTAAGTAAAGAGACACACATTGATACAATGTCAGTCTTTTCATGGAAGGAAGCCCCCCCCCCCCCCCCCCCAAGTAAAAAAATAATAATTAGGTTTTACTACGTCCCACAGATGCAATCTAGATCATTTAGAAGGTAGGCTTCCAACCTGGACTGAGAGAGGTACAGCATCCCAGCGGAAAGACTGAGATACTCGATATAAAAATTTTCTCCCCACTCGGGAATCAAACTAAGGTCTCCTGTGTGTGACAGCAAAACACCTAACTGCTACACCACAGACACCAGTAGAAGAGACAAGACTGACAAACAAAAGGGGTAGAGTAAAGAAGTATGACCTTTATGGCCTTCTAATACTCCTATAGCAACACCCTTAAACCATAGGTTCCTCCTCCTACTGTGTTGTAATGGGTGCTTTAACCCATACCATACCACCAATGGTCAGCTCTACAGTAGAGAGCCTTTGCACGTACAATATAATATAATCCACTTATATCGACATCCGATTTATAAAAATTTTGACATATCGACATATTTTCCAATTACAAATTTTTTCTTTCAATATCTTCACTAAACAATTTCTCTTATATCACCTTTTTTTCGGCCCACTCTGCTTTATCGACATGCTTCCTGGGTACCTAGCGAAGCCCACGAACATAAATGGGGGGAAAAAAAAAACATGCTAAGGGTGAACACATTAGTTCTTCATTAAGTCTGCATACCCGCCAAGTAGCCTATATCGACAAACCAGGCTTTACTAGGTCATGTAGGGCCTACACAGTGTAGTCTCAAGCACAGTACAGTGCCTCACAGACGTGAGCTTCTCGCGCGCGGGGCATCACCTCCCTACCCCCACTCCTGATCTCTCACTCCCCTTCTCCATCTTATTCTCAGTTTACCGTTGACCTCCCCTTGTTTTTTCCTCTTTGGCTTTATTTTTTCATTTATCGACATTTTTATATATCGACATAAAATCCACTTCCCAAACCATGCCGGATTATACTGTATAAGAACAACAAAAGTGCCAGTCAAACTCAAAGTCAACACAGAACATGAGAATTAGAAGAAAAAGACTAAAGTAAAAAAAACCACGATGAGGTGAGGTTAAGATAACATACAATCAATTAATATATCATAAAAAAACAAAATGAAGCAACTGTCGATTTTAGAAAATGTTTAATAAAAAAATAGGTGATTTAAAAAAAAAAGATATGGAATGATATGTCAGATGAGCAAGTCGCACGGCAGTGAAAAAGGACGGAATGATCACATTACAATAATAATTCTGATCCGAGGGCACACAATATTATACAATTATAACAAATTCCCACTATAAGAGAAGCAAGTACACAAAATGATCAGCCCACAAATGCAGTATCTATCCGGAAATGTCTCAAACGGAGATAAACCAATCAAAATGCTTGAGCCTCTAGACCAAGTTAAAAAATCTGGGGGGTTACAGGGGCCCTGTTTTAACCCATATTTGATATTCTGTAGTTAGGCTTGAAATTTTCTTGAAAATAATTGATTTGCGACAGTTTTAGAGGCTATATGTGTCATCTGCAGCAAACAATATGCAGTTTGACCCCCCAAAGCAGTGCATCAGTGTGCGGGAGTGCGTCTCTGAATAGTTCCTGGGTGCTCGCCGGAGACGTCTCCTTATATCTTCTGCCGCCTACAAAACTATAGGTGATTCATAGAGTAGAGCGACAGCAGTGTATGTTCTATGAAACAAAAACGAGATATGTACTTGTTCTATGAAAATGAATGCATCTGCGCAGTTAAGTAGTGAATTGAGGCCTATGAATATTGTCACATGGACTGAGCACCTGAAAATTTCAAAATAAATTTTTTTTTAATGTAGGTGCTTTTACATTCACCATCGACACAATTCTGATCATCTAGTAAGAACTTAATGTCCCAGAAGAAAGATTGAGATATCCAATAAAAATTCTCCCTACACCGGAATCGAACATGCAAAACAAAAAATCCCCCTTCTGGTCAGTACTTTTAAATAGAATAACTGTCAAAAAATTTATAAAACATAATAGTAGAGCAGCCTGAAAAATAAAAGAAGATTTGACTGCTCAGTGTAAGACTAGGTCATACATTACTTTTCAAAATAGCATATGGCAAAGTCTTGCACTAAGTAGTTGATATGTTCTATTTTAAAAAAACATGGCTATGTAAAAATCAGCTACACTGCTGGTTGAAAAACCAACAGCTGACTACCTGTAAGATCAAACGCGGGGTGTAGAACAAAGAAAAAGGACTTGTCACATGTGATTTATATCTAAAAAAAAAAGAAAAAAAGTTGCCTCTGTCCAACAACTGTTTTTCTGTTCAAATTACGAAATGATCCGTCTTCATCTTTGACAACATGTCAGTTTGCAGAGACAAAAAGGGAGACAATTTTTAATCAGGTTTCATAGAAAACTTTTGATGCCTTGCTCCCAGTCTGGGTCTCAATGAATAAAGGATTTTTTAGACTCTCAACTCACATTTCAACAATTATACATTCTCATATATTTAAACTCTGATACATTCACAATCATGACAGACTCACACCAATGCATAATTACAGCTCTTTAGATATTCTATCACGATTTAACCTCTTGTTGTTTTATCTTCTCCATGGCATTGAACAGCAAATCACATGCCTGCTTGTGCTTTTTCCAGTGACCAACTTGGCATTCCCTGACAATAAAAAACAGACTTTTGTAGTGACCCTACATGATGAATGCGGTATATATACATACTCATGTGTTTTTGTACAATTCACCTTGAGAATTTGAAAAAAACCCCAAAATATCTGATAGTATTTTCTAAATCTGCAACAAGACAAGATCTTTAAATTCATCAAACCTGCTCTTGTCTTACAGCCACCTGTATAAGACAATCACCTGTACAAACGACCTCTTCCCATTTCCTCCCTTGTGTATTTTTTTACATTCTAAAGACACTGTACGTATGTAAGACGGCAATCTATGGCCACTATTCTATTCAACAATAGGTGGTTGTCCTAGACAGTTTCAACTGTATTAGATTCTAGTTTTCACGCTCCTGTCAAATTGACAACAAGTTTTTAAAGTTGAATCATAGAGCTGATTAGAAGAAGCGGCACGTGTTGATAGGTGTTGGTGTTTCAGAGTGGATTTTCAAAGGAATTACCTCACAGGTGACCAAATATATTAACCAGCTTTATCCTTACAAAATATAACTTTATCATTGTGGACACGCACTTTATAACTGTAATTCATTATCATTACTAATAGGTTTATTTAGATGGCCTATATGGCTTTTGTAAATAACAATTATAACAAAATCAGAGGGACGTGGAATCTTTTCGTTATAACAAATTTATGTGTTTTAAATATCGGTACAAAGAATATACATATATAAGAAAAATTCAGGTACTGAGGATCTGTTCGATCTGTGTGCGTGATCGCTATGTGTGTGCTAGAAGGTATATGCGCTTGTTAGAATCAAAAGAAACTTAATTGTTCTATTTTTCTCCCTAAAATCCTTATAGTAAATAGTTTTTAATGAGTTTCTTTATATACATTTACAAATCATATGTTGTTTCTTACCTTCTGCAATACCACTCGTTCTGGCAGCGTGAGCATCGTTTACTGGCAGGCTGACCACATACTGCACACTTCGGAGGCTCGGAGACAAGTTCTTCCAACACGTCAAAGTTGTATGTTGAAGCCCATCTGAAAAGTTGAGTGTAGACTGATGTAAGCTTTACCACTTAACCCTGATCATTTTGACTGGCCATCATTTATTGTTCATTGTTTCAGGAAGCAACATCCCTGCACTCCGGACATGTCCATTGATGCTCTGTTGCTCTCTCCAAAATGTTGCCAAGGGTCCTTCCACTGATTGTGCCAGTGCACATCTGGTTGAACTTTCTTTTGTTCTTTCCTGCAAGGATGCCAGATTTTCCGCTTCCTTTTTGTATTCCCAAAACCGTCATCCTCTCCACTGCAGTACTGGCTCCCTATCTTCCTCCTCAATCAGCTGGCGAGAGAGACATTTCAGGATCTCGACCCTATCTGGTTGAACCATATTGTCAACTGAGGTGGCCTCACTGGCCAATCTGTCGGCTTTTTCATTTCCCCTAACACCTGCATGGCCAGGGCAGAAAATCCTTGTGAGCCATCAATAGTCTGTAAGTCATACATCATCAAATAAATGCATTTATACACAACAGACTATGCATATATATGAGACTGCATATCATCACTTATTTCAGTGCACAGCCCTAAATGACATCAGAGCTACACTTCTCCCGTCGAGACAATTACTCTCTACGGAACATTACAGCAACTGCAGTAGACCTGCACATATCACTACGTGGTATTGGACAGAAGGGCAATAGTCCAGCTGTTGCTGAATCGATAACAACACAACAACAGATACATTCGCACATTCCCATATATGTTCAGAGAAAGGAAAAAAATTTGGTGACCTTGGGTGCTTACTAAAAAATGTTACAGTTTCAAGTTGACAGAGTTGACCTGCCGAGGCTGCTAAAACTAATGAATCTCGCATCAAAACTAAAAATAAGCTTGTCCATATATAAGCAATTAAGACAACCTTTAACAAGCATGTGGTTACCAGACAGGGAAGGGAAACTCTACTCTGATTAAAAAAACCCATCACAGTTCACAGCCGTTCCCTAGGTTGAAGAAAAAAACAACACTCGGCTAACCCTGAGCCAGAAAAGAAATAAAGAAAGATAAAAGAAAGAGAATATCCATACCCAGAAAGGATATCAGAATGAGAAAATGCTATATTTTCACCCAGTATAGAACATCTATAGCAATGGGTAACAGTTGCAAACCGTGTGTATATTCAAAGGTACTTTCAAAGAATACTGTGAGAGTGTCTAGCATGCTAGAAAATGGCTGCATGCTTTCTGCCCATGTAATATTTCATAATTTTCACTTTGTAAATTTGCAGTATAATACAGGTATAGGATATGATGCAAGAGGGTTTCCAAGCAGTCTTTTTAAACAAAAATAAAAGTTAACCTAATTTTAGACTCACACGGTTTGTGACTGTTATTGTCGATATAATCTATGCTGTCACTTACCTTTGAGCTTGTTCCCTGATAGCAGCATCTGACTGGTTGAAATTTTTCTTCGATTGCACCTTGGCAATTTTCTCCCATTTCCCATTGTATTTCTTCAGAAGTTTCTCTCTGATTTCAGGAACCTACAAAACGAAAAGACAATTTTTAGATGATATTATGCAAAGTTTAATAGGAAAAAATTTCTTTTGCACAATGATTACTTCATGCTTATATAATACGAATGATGGAAAAGCGATCATAAACAGCTGAGAGGTGTTGAATGCCGGGGCGAGGAATGATTTACTTGACAGGGTAATCAAAGAAACAGACATCATACACATGAAAAGTGTGTGCAAAGGAACAAACAGTGTAGTCCGCTTTTATTAAACCAAAATCTCTGTGACCGCTGGATTTTCTTCAGTTTACACTCTTGTAATCAGCAAAAAGAAATTTGGTGGAGGCTTCTAGTTACAAACTGGCTTCTTGTCTGATTATGTTTGTATGGATGAAAAATAACAAAGGCAATGATAGTGCACAGCCTTGCCTCTTGCCTGACACATGATATGATTTCAAACCAATTGATAAGGCCTTCAGATGTTCTTATTGCGACCATACTTTTTGTGTAGATGGCATGGATATAGTCAAACAGCTGGCCCTGATTAGAGCAGTGCTCAAGTATTTGCCACAGTTTTTATCAGTTAAACTAGCCAAAGGCTCTTTCGAGCCTTACAAAGACAAAGTATAGCTCCTTGTCATATTCAGAGGTCTGTTCACTTAAAACCAACAACAACATGAAAGAAACATGCTGCAAACATCATATATAGGCACTCAATAAAGTAAATTTACTGAACTCAACAGTAGCAGCAAAGCCATGGGCAATCTGAAATCTGTCAGCACCATATTTCAAATCAATGACAATAAGACAGTAAATGCATTTTTAAAGAGAGTAATTTTAGTTTCCCAACGTATGAAAAACATCAAACCATGATCAATGTCATTCATTTTTTATCTCATCGGTCATGAAACTGAGCACCAAGCCATGAACATCATTTGTTTAAAACAAATCTCATCAGTCGTAAAACTGGAGAATTTACAAGTTTCCCTCATGATGCAGCATCTCACCTGTTCTAAAACAAGATCTTTTTTGGCAGGAGGAGGATCCATGATGGCTAGATGCTCCAAATTCCGTTGCAACTCTCCCAATACAGGCATCTGGTCCAAGAGAACCTCCGTCAGATACGACCGGAGCTGGAGTGATACAAACCAGTTTTGAAAATTAAAATGAGCAGAATAGAGCTACAAATTTGACATATGCACAGAAACCCCTCGCAGTCAATGGAATCAATGAAAGAAAAGTATCATGGAAAAGTGGTGGTTGCTCTATGAAAGGGTGCGTGAAAATCAGTATTGGAATTTGAAACAAAAGTTCCTCTGATCTTAAATATAATATATAATAATAATACAGCTGTGCTGTTGGACCTGGTTTTTGTACTTTTGTCCTCCTGCATGGAAATACTTTGAATTTCCCAGCACTAAATAACCATTAAAATGTTTCTCTTTAACTCATACAAGATAGAACATTTCGCAGGTGATGGAAGGGTTAAATACAGTATGGTATGCAAATTGTTAATTACACCATTATTCCCTCTACGGGATGGAGTGTGGCTTTCATGGTTTGATTAAATAATATAGAATTATGTTCTAATATTTTCCAACCAAATTTTCTCTCAGTACATATATTTCTTTCTCTCAGCCTTCTTTCCACTGTATTCTTTTGTGTATTTTTGTTTTCTTTTCCAACAGCGGTTCACAAACCTTTATAATAGTATTTTTCCTGTAGTTATTCAAGTCATATTTCTCTTGACACTGCTGTTCCATCAGGAGATGGAAGAGAGCAAGCCAAACCTGAAGAAAAAAAGCAACATTACACATGTTAAGAAAGTTTAAACAAAATTTACAGCTGATTGTTTATTGACAAGAAATGAAATGCTTACCCAATTTTATTTTGCCAGTTAGAATAAAGACGATTTCTAAACCATTGATTAAACTTAGCATGTGAAATCTTTAAAAAGGAACTCATCTAAAAAGGATATATTTAAAAATATATAAAATTATAATTTAATAAGCATGAAAGCACATATCAATTCTATTTGCTAAAAACATAACAGAAGTAATCAGTTTCAGAGCTCAATCTTGCTCTAGATGGTTTTTATTTTAGTTATAACTATAAAGGATATGAATACATGTTTTCATCACTGCAGAACGAATGTCTTGTTATATTTACAAATCTCACCTGCAAGCAAGTCAGTAAACAAGATTCATTGTACCAATACTCTTCCCCATTTTATAATCTCACACAGTCTTAAAGCTATTTACTCATAAACTAGGCGTCATAATTACTTTGAAATTTTTAAACATTTCACTTGAAAAATGAAAAGGTACTTCATGTACTGTAGTCACTACCAAAAATAACTGATCACGTCGTATGCTCCTGACAAGATCAGCCTCAGACCTTTGCTCAGTTAGAACAAGCCATCATTCAAAAGTGGAATAACATTCTTCAACAACGTTATACAAGTTTTTTTATTTGTCCACACATCCACAGTGTGAAGCCAGAGATTATTATGTTTGTAATTGAAGTTGTCACTTTTTGTTTAGGCCACTGATTAATTTAAGTTCAAAATTAAAAGTAAGGATCACTTCCCTTTTTAATCCAATGTTTTGTACTAGTAATTGTTTCAAAATCCTTATTATAGTCTAATCTAAAAGTGTTACTGATTAGTATCAACCATGACTTTGTTCTATGAGGTAGGAAGTTAAAAATGTTACAGAGAATATATATATTTATGTTATATTTTTCATCATCTGAATAGAGAAATTAATCCCATCATCCACACAGTGATACAAGAACTCTTACCTGTCCCTCTGTCTTTGTCAACTTTAAACTGTCCTCAAAGCTGACTTCTTGCCATTTGCCATCTATGAACTTGTATATTTTCCCTGAATAGAAAAACAATTATAAAGGGCAGGTTCCAAATGACTGCTATAGATTTTCATTGTGCCAACCAGTATACGAGGCAGATCAGTCATTATATTCAATCTCAAAATAAAACATAATTTCACATCAAATGAAATACAGTGGAGTCCGCTTAAAGTGAACACGCTTTATTTGAACAATCAGTTAAAGTGAACGACATTCTGTGGTCCCGATTGAAACGCTATTTGTTTCAGTAAAAAAATAGTGGATAAAATGAACCGGTTTTATGAGGAAATCGGATAAAGTGAACGCCCAAAAAGAGCGAAAGCAAAGAACGGACCGACTGTGTCACTGTCGCCATGCTGTGAAAATAAAATTCTTTGCCTCAGGCATCAGAAGACAATCCCAGCTTGGCGTTGGCGATGGCAATCTCAGTCAGAAAGAAAGAGCTCTAGTCTAGGCTCACCTGCTGTGTTGTCTCCCCCACCCCACCTCCACCCTAGACCCACCACTGCGCGTAGCTACTGTTTCTAGGCCTCCACCCTACCGAAATGGTTAAACTGAACCTCGGATAAAGTGAACACTTTCTTCTGGTCCCAAAGAGTTCATTTTAGGCTGATTCTACTGTAATTCTTTTCACAAATTGAAACGTATTGAGAAACAATTCAATTTGCAAATATTTAATACTAGCTGGGTATACGTTCGATGAACGTACTTGAAATAATCGTCGATCATCAAGTCGTTGTGGAAACAGTACGGAAACTTGTGAACGGAAGCCTCACTTGTTCACAATGGCTTCTAAGAAGACGGACTTTCCCAAGATTAAATCTAAACGAAACTAATGAAAAACTGAAAATTAAACTACAGTGACTTCAGACTCCTCAATAAAACTATGCACCCTTTAAATGATTCGGAACCACCCTTAATTTTTTCAAATTCGAAAGTTAAGTGGTTCGGAAGTTTTAGGCAGCCTAAGTGACGAACTTTCACAAATATAATAAGTAGAGATACTGGTGGCAAAATAATTCTTTTTTTCTGAAGTTGATTTTATTCTACAAAAAATAAATCTGTTTTAACAAGTGCAGGACATAGTTCATTCAAGGCATTCATTAGTGTGAAATGATGCTTACCATCCTTTCTCCTTGTCCAAGGTGGGGACTCTACCAGTTGTACCAGCAATATGGGAATGTCATGAGTATTGAGCACTCTTGTCATAACACTCAGTGGAAGGCTGTTTAAAATAAGAAAAAACAAAACAAAACAGTGTTACACTTACATTGAATAAAATATGACCACAACAACATACAGAGATACAATTATTTTTATTAAACAAGGGTACATTGAATAGGCTACAGATATGAGCAAAATGACAATTTGCAGACTGAATATGTTCTTATAGAATCCCTTATAAAAACCTCCTTGCTCCCCTTCCTCGTCTGTTAGTAGTTCATTTCTAAGAATTTTTGCAAATTAAATTTTTTTATTTGTGCTATAAACAAAATGTTTCGCTTTTTAATCGAATAAAATGGTTATCATCCTATTTTAAAAAAAGAATAACAATTGTCCTCAAATTAAATTTTCAAAATACTATCGTTTACTATTTTGACAACTCACCAATCAAAATGATCTGTGACATAACGCAGTAATGTCAAAGCTTTGATGCTGATCTCAAATTGTAGTTTCTTGTCCTGCTCTTCCAGCTCCTTAGAAAAAAAGCAAAATAGAAAGAAAGTAAAAAAAAACAGCAGAGAAAGATAGTTTTAACATAAGTACATTTTCTGTAAAATGGTTCAGTTTATAAATAGTTTAGAATAGAATAAAGCATTATACGAGGCAGACAAAGAAAGCTATACTTACGTCCATATTATTGGTTGACTGGGTAATTTCTCTCTGCCCCATTGGTAAAAATTCATCATCCTCATCATTTCCTCTGAGGAAAAAAAATGATATCTCTAATGCTTAACTAAAAATAATAATAATAATAATAATAATAATAATAATAATAATAATAATAATAATAATAATAAAATAATAATAATAATAATAGTGAGCTTAGAATATAACAATTGATATCCTCAAATGTGTGGGAACATTTTTTCATGAATGAGTTGAATCATTTATATGTGAAACAAGCCAAAGAATAAGCATGAGACATTCAACTATCATGAAAATTAGTAGCACTCCAGATTCATCAACTTGTGGCTTTATTTGAGCTTCATTTGGTTTAAGTTAAAAAGTTAATTGATGACTTGAACTTGAATTGAGTAATAATAAAAAGCCTATGAATCAAAGGAAGCTCAGATCATGCCGAACAAAATCAAAGCAACTGGCACTAGAATAGGCCCTAGTGAGTGAAATGAAAATGGAAAAAACTCTCAGCACAGTTGGCAATGTTAAATTAAGCAAGCAAAGAAAAGTCATACATCCTTCATTTCAGGGATGACAACCATTCTGCTTCTTCCCTAGTCAAATCACAAGACAACGATCTTATTTGACTGTGATGCAAAAAACCCCTAACAAAACAAAAAAACGGATCTTACTTGGCAGCCAGGTAGCACAGTTTGCGATAGCAATAATCCACAAGGTCGAGGATTGAGTCCTCTGCGACTTCACATGTCTCTTTGTAGAACATCATGGTCTCCAGTAGATTGACAACTGTAGCTTCATGGTAAAGCTGCATTGACAAAACAATACTTTGCAACATAATGACTCAAAAGTTATACTTCAAGTAAAGATAATATCATTTTCAGAATTTTATAAGAAGCATCACTAGATGATAACAAGTTTTTTTTTTAAGGCAGTCCATTATTATATTAAGAAATTGTTCTCTGCAGCCTTATGGAGAAATTCATTGATAAAATATTTATGAACAAAGATAGAGTAAATGAGTGTCAACATAAGATAATAAGAACATGAAAATAGCTGAAAAACAAATAAATATACATCATTCTAAAAGAGCAAATCCAGTACTAAAAGGAATCCAGCATCAAAACAGTATAACCATAAAACCCAAGGAACATTGAGTGAACTATTACGTCATTACTAGTACTCACCACCATATAAATTGGGAAGGTGGTTTTGGGCTGAAACTCCATATCAACAAGTTCAGGGAAAACATTTTGCTTCCAAATTTCTGTCAACAGTAAATCCTGAACAAGCATATCAATCTGAAAAAAAATAAATTAAAAAAAATCAGTCAATGTTTAAAAAGTATCCACAAATAAAATCAGACAAGCCTAATTTAATATTTTGAATTTGGAATATTTTCAGTTGTGAAGAGAGTACATAATATGTTACTTTTAACATTATATCAGAGACCTATATTAAGTACAACAGCAACCCAAATATGTTGCACAACATTCAACAGCTACATAAAAGCTAGTTAATTGACTTACCTTGCCATACGAAATAAAGAATTCCTTTACAAACTCATCCTCTTTAGCTGCAGCATTAACTACAGCCTGCATGTTCAATTTTTCCAAGTTTTCATGTTGCTGGTGCCATCTGCAGAGAAAAAAATTTAATTCTTTAAGAATTTGCACTAAAGCAATTCAATTGATAAAATTCTCCTCTTCCCGTACTTTTTAATCAAACTTTCGACTTAAAGAATTCGGAACCGTTTCTGACACAAAACAATGCCAACAAAGTTGTCCATCATGAGTGTACTTGCACCTTCTTATACCGCATTATCTTGAAGGAAGTGAAAACTGTTGTTTGATTGAGTGTTAATCCTTAAAAATGGAGTAAAAAGTAGGAAAACAATTCAGCATTTATAGTTTGTGTAAAAATCAGAATGATATCATATTGCCATTACTCTAAAGCATTTTTTTCAACAGGAAAGCTACTAGGCAAAAAGGAAACATTTCAGTACCCTAGCATAGTTTAGAGGAACTAAAACCAGCTATTTAGTTTGACATGAAGTGGTAAATGGGACCGCCACATACATGGAGAATAGCATTCTGTGTCATTCTCATTCGCCACCTATTTTGTAGATATTTTGTCTTCTTTCTTAATTAAGAGCTAGTGGGTGGCTGGAATTAATAAGGTGCTCTATATTGTAGATTTTACTTCTGTACTAACCCTTGAGCTTCCGTCTATCTCTGGGTTTTTTGCGTTAAAAAAATATTCTTCTCTTACTGCTAGATTAGATTTTGTACTAATCTAGATCTAGATTCTAGATCTAGAACTAGATTTCTACATCTAAAAAATCTAGATCTCTAAATTACACAGTTGCACTGTTCACAGTTATTTTATAATAATATGCTCCCTCCTAGTCTAACTCAAACGGACCATACTCAAAATAAAAACCAAATATCCATGCTGGATTTACCCCTCGAATCTTATTAAAAACTTATATTCTCAATTAAATTCCCAGTTTGATTATACGTGCACTTCTAGCTGTTTAAGTATAGATCTAGACTAGATTCTAGATCTAATCTAGATCTAGCAATCTAGATCTAGATCTAGGTCAGACTAGGTATCGCGGTAGATTTCTACTCTTCATTTTTAATTCTGACGAAAAATTTACCTTGGTGTGCCGATGTCTTTCAAGTCAAACACTTCAAGATGCTCAACATAAGCTTCAGCCTCAACAGACAATAAAACATGAGCTGCTTGACTTTGTTCTGCCATAATTGTACTTCACACAACGACCTGCTACTAAGAAAACGGTTTCTCCGATGAGTTCTAGATAGTTCTACACAGCACTGCTTGTGTGTTGTAAAGAATTTCCACCGTTATCGGCCATATTTGTTGTAAACATCCAGTATCCAATACAAAATTAGGAGTTCATACGGCGCTATGAAAGAGACAAATAAAGCGTTTGGGCGCTTTCTTGCAAATTGTCATTGGCCTACGTACAAGAACATAAGTTTACTTAATTAAACAGAGTAAACAGAAGACTCGAAACTCTACTAATACTACAATCTAGCTATACTAATGTTATTTCGGTAATATTGTGAAAATATTTAAGGACAACGATCTATTTGGAACAGAGAATTAGGCTACCGTAGTAAAGGAAAAGAAACAGATCTGCACACAAGACGCGCATACGCACGAACAACTATAATACATGTATATGTGTGCGACATGAGCAAGTTTGGAGAGAGAAAGAGAGAGAGAGATAAAGAGAGAGAGAGAGAGAGAGAGAGAGAGAGAGAGAGAGAGAAGAGAGAGAGAGTGAGAGAGGGGGAGGAAGAGAGAGG